GTGTGGGGGAGAGAGAATCTCCAGCGTAACACTTTTTCTTCTACAAAGGAGGATGTAAGAATACAACATCGATGCATAAAGGTGGACCTGCTATGAGGCTGCTTCAGGCAACAGATTTGGGGGCGGGGCGGGGGGGGGGGCGTTAAGGACATCTAACAAGAGGCAGATCTAGCCCATAAAGGAAAGTCTCCTAAGTGGAAGAAGAATGTACATTTTGTTTCTTTTTTTGTTGTTTGTTTGTAAAACTGTTAAAAATATTAATTAAAAAAAGGAAAGCCTGCAGCACAAGCCACGCTGAAATGAACAGGACTTTCCCAAGGCCACAAGCATTTCAGTGAGGTTTTCTGCGGAAAACTACCCACTGATTTAAGCACCATATCCATTTAGTGGCCAAGGAGCACCACTGTGATTTTCCATCTGGAGGAGGAGGTGGAGAAGGAGGAAAAGAAAAGATTGGATTTATACCCCACCCTTCACTACCCGAAGGAGTCTCAGAGCGGCGTACAATCTCCTTTTCCTTCCCGTCCTCACAACAGACACCCTGTGAGGTAGGTAGGGCTGAGAGAGCTCTTTCGAGAACTGGTCTTTCAAGAACAGCTCTGAAAGAACTTGTGACTGACCCAAGGTCACACCAGCAGCTGCATGTGGAGGAGTGGGGATCAAACCCGGTTTTCCCAGATTAGAGTCCGCACTCCTAACCACTACACCAAACTGACACCGAATGTCCTGTATGTAGGGGTGGAAGATTTGCAAACTCAAGCTGGATTCCTGTCTGGGCTTGTTCACTGCTCTTTCCAGCAGAATCATATTACCAGCTTGCATCCACACATGCACATACATTTCTGCTTATGTATTTCTCAGTGGCAGGTAACATTTTGTCAGAACAGAGGAGAGTGTGTACCAGTGGCCCAAGGTCCTAGAGTAAAGGTCAAGGGGAAATCAGAACATTTTTCACAACCTGCTGTCTCTGAGGTCAGATATTCGATGACATATCAGAGGTGTGAAATTCTAACCATCTCTCCCTAGCCCCATCATGGGAGTAAAACACTTCCAAGGTAAGAACAGAAGCATTTGCCTCACTAGTGTTCTGTAATTCTGCAAAGAAGCTACCAGGTTGAAAACACAGGGGTGTATCCACACTACATACGGGTTTTAGCAGTTCTCTCTCCCCAAGGAACTGTAGTCCTGCAAGAGGGGCCAGGGATCCCTAAGATACCTTCTCAACCCCTTCCTAAAATGACAATTCCCAAAATTCTTTAGGGAAATGCCATAAAAAGGTATTATGATATCAAGTTTCTAGCGCACATTGCTCTTAATTCCAGAGCAAATTCCTCATTCAAATGCTTTTGCTATAGAACCCACAGTGGCAAACCCCTGGGAAAAGCTAGCTCAGTTTGTCGAGAGCTGGGAAGCATCATATGGCTTGTCCAGATGCTGCCTTTTATCATTTCTAGCTGCACCATGTACCTCATTACTGTGAGGACACAAAACATCCTTCAGAAAGTCCAGTAACCACAGAACTTTGTATTCCGTGCAAGCACAATGTGCAGTTTGTTACCAGGAGTGCCCTTCAGCCCCCATACTAAGAATCTCAGTTTTTATTTTTGAAAACACACAACAGAAACATAAACATTCCAGCCCTTATGCTTATGAAGAGAGTATGCAAGCAATTCCTGTGCTAACACTTCAAAGGAAAAAAGAGGTATTCCAATGGGTTGAGCTCCAGTGCCCTGCTGAGATTCTCACATCTTCCTTTGAGTTGCAGGAACACAATAAATTATGCCAAAGAAGCAATTTTATGCAGATTTCTGCAACTTGCAGAGTTTATGTAAGTTGGAGAATTCAGATGTGCGTGTCTAGTGAGTATTTTGTGCCTGGGGGAGGGAGGTGGATTCAAACATGCATCCACAAAGAGGATTTCCTCCGTCCTGGCTCTCAAACAGGAAACGGGGTTTTTCAGGGCATTCACATGTCATAGTTCTCCATCCAACACATGTGCTATCACCTATCATGGTTGTGCATGATTTGTTCTGATGTCTCCAGGTCCTGATTTACACCGATCTTTCCAGAAATATCAGAGTCAAAGTGGATTTACTCACAAGGTGGATGGGGAGGGGCAGATTTCTGAAGCACCCCACTCAAATTTCATGCAATTTCCCATCCCTATTCCTTCACAGCTACCATTTCCCATCCCCCACCCCTAGCCATTGGAAGACTTTTTATTGGCTTTTTTTTTTAAAGATAGTAGTTCTATTGCTATATCATCATTATACTGATATAGGGTGGTTTTTTTGGTGTTCTGGATTTTTTTTAAGCTGGTAAAAACCCTTCAGTGGCACAGGGAAATGGTGGGCACGAGGACACAGGAGGAAAGAATGGTGAATTGCCCTGTGCGGATAACTCTGCTGTTTTTGCAGCAGTGAGTCTGCAGTAGGGAATCATTTCCATGCAGACATAGCTTGGTTACTTGTTGCAGGCAGGAGCCACAAGGCTAGCCCTCTGGGCCTCCAGGTTGGCTGTTTATCCAGATAATTGCCAGCCCTTCACCATGAATGCCAGACATCTGCCTTAAACTCTGAGAACTCCATGAGCATTGAGCATGGAAGGAATGCAGGAAAACTACTTTCCATGCAAGTCCACCTCCCCTGTGGGTCTGAGCAGACCGCAGAAGTGGCTCCCAATTTTGCTACAGCGGTGTAGTGCATTTGGATGAGAGGTGAGTCATGGTCTGACTGTGCCGGCATCCCCACCTCCGCCTCTGAGCATAGGTGGTGAATGCAAAATCGACTGAACAAGGATGGCAGCTCTGGCATTCTCCTTCAGTGAAGGGCTCTGCTCTCTGTCTATCATTGTGCTGGGCAAGAACCTAATTTCTTTATTGCAAAAAGAGAGCTGTTCCTGGGCCTGAATCCCTACACATAAGGGTCACTCTGGGAACAAAGGGAAGCTGACTGGGACCCCTGATCCCTGACGGACTAGGATGACAAGCCACCAGGAGGAAATATTAACTGAACATCTACATTGCCTCCCAGTCTTTTTCCTGGCACAATTCAAGGTGCTGATGTTGACCTTTATAGCCTTATTTGGCTTAGGACCAGCATACTTGAAGGACCACCTACTCCTTTACAAATCTACCTAACCTCTATGGTCATCTTCTGAGACCCTGCTTTGGGTGTCTCTGCCTTCTGAGATTAGGTGGGTGGCAACCTGGGACAGGGCCTTCTTGGTTGCGGCACCAAAACTCTGGAACTCTCTCCCCAGGGAGACTTGTCTGTCCCTTTCTGTTATCATCTTCCACTAGCAGGTGAAAATTTGTTTCATTTGGGATCCCCTCACTGATCCTTCCTGCCCTATCTTTTGATTGTTGTTTTTATGTTTTTGTATGTGCGTTTTAGTTTTGGTTTTAATTGTTTTAATTATGGCCTTTTCTCTGTTTGTGATGTTTTTAGAATATGTTTTTGTAATGTTTATTTAACCTATTAGCCACCATAGTGGTCCTGATGAGGGGAGAAAGGTGGGATACAAATTTTGGAAATAAATAATAAATAAATAAATAATGAACATAAAATGATGCCTTATACCAAATCTAGTTCAATTAGTGTTGGTAGCCATTTGCTGCCGACTTCCAAGACTTTTGGGGGACAGGGAAGGAATGACCTTGCAGTGCACAGCTCTACAACATCATGTCTCGTTACATACCTGGAAGTGACATCATGGCAATGCTCTGGAATTCCTCAAATATCTGTGGTTTTACCATAGAGATTTGGGGAATTCCTATATCATCTTCCACTAGCAGGTGAAAATTTGTTTCATTTGGGATCCCCTCACTGATCCTTCCTGCCCTATGTTTTGATTGTTGTTTTTATGTTTTTGTATGTGCATTTTAGTTTTGGTTTTAATTGTTTTAATTATGCCCTTTTCTCTGTGATGTTTTTAGGATATGTTTTTGTAATGTTTATTTAACCTATTAGCCACCATAGTGGTCCTGATGAGGGGAGAAAGGTGGGATACAAATTTTGGAAATAAATAATAAATAAATAAATAATGAACATAAAATGATGCCTTATACCAAATCTAGTTCAATTAGTGTTGGTAGCCATTTGCTGCCGACTTCCAAGACTTTTGGGGGACAGGGAAGGAATGACCTTGCAGTGCACAGCTCTACAACATCATGTCTCGTTACATACCTGGAAGTGACATCATGGCAATGCTCTGGAATTCCTCAAATATCTGTGGTTTTACCATAGAGATTTGGGGAATTCCTAGAGTTCTGCCATGATGTCACTTCAAGTTATATAAAAGGAAATCACATTGTGACAGCAGAGGGAGCCCAGCAGCAGTAGGTATATTTTAGTTCCCTCCTCATGAACAGGTGTTAAACAAACCTGGTGGGAGACCTAGCTCTCCTAAGTTAAATTTTTCTACCCTGGCATGTCTCCAGCAGGGCTTATTCCTGTTTTCATTTTCAAAATGGAGATGCCAAGAAATTAGGCAATCCATACGGTAACTACACTTACTCCAGGCTAGGTGTCTACGTAATGTGTACCATGGAAAGGAGAATCTTTTTTCATTCTAAGATACGTACATGCTAATCTAGGCAATTCCAAAAAGGATAACCGTCTGGAGGAGCATTAGCTGTAGATGTGCTTAGCCCAATTATAGTTATGCAAGAAATGAATGAAATCCACTCAACAGACTCAGGAACACTCCTTTTTATTATCTCTTCACCCCTTCCAGAGCTTACATTACAAATGATTTGTGCAGTTGAACCCTGGCAGAATAACATGGACTCCTCACATGTTTTAACACCTTTTAAAGGACAGTGTCCAGGGAAGGCAAAGAGTTGTTCTATTGTCATCATAGCACCCTTGGACAACAAAAGTTGGAGGAGCACAAAGCCACCCAAATCATTTTGAACGGGATATGGGGTCTGCGGTCATCCCAGTCAACAACCCAAGGTACAGGGGATGGTGAGCGCTGGGGAGAAGCTCATGTCCTACCTGATTGCAGGTGTTAATATCTACACCATTCCTCAGGTGATCCAATGCTTTGTCCAGGTTCCCAGATCGTGCCGCCCGAAGAAAGCTGGTCGCTGCATCGGCCTTGGAGGGAAAAGAGACAGGAAAGAGTCAACAAGAGTATTTTGCCATACTGGGCTAACTTAGACCTAGTTTCCACTGAAGTGGCAGAGTTGTACCTGTGCTTCGCCACTTTAGGTGGGGCTTAACGGGTTCTCTTCCACATTAGCTGTCTCCATCAATAGTGTTTTTTTTTTAAAAAAAAAAAAAAAGTGCAAGGATTTCTTTTATTTGGGGAAACAGTCCTTTACAGGCCAATGAGGTCTTGACTCTGGGCCAGCTGGTACATGAAGAGTTGATCAATTTGCAAGAGGAGAAAAATGTTTAATTCTAGGGAGAGTGCTCTCAACAAGTACTCCTCCCCTCCCAGACACAGGTCTTTGTAAATGACAATTGCCCAACGGGGGTGTCAACTGGTAGTATTTTGGTAAGTTTCCTCAAAGGCTATGAACCAGCCCTGAATACAATATGCATGATGCCTTTCAGCTCATTCTTGGCCTGCATGGTTCCAGATCAGATAATTGAAATAAACAAGATCTTTTAATGAGATGAGTGAAACCACCAGAAGTGTGAAACCACCAGTTATCTTTTGATGCCAGCTACCAGTATGCAGCAATGTTTGACCAGCATTTCAACTAAAACTATATGCTACAAGAAATGCGTGCTGCCCGTGAAAATGGCGGTCCGGTGTTGCATTTTTCTCTTGCTCCCTGTATAGGGTTACCAAAGTTCCCATCACAACAGGAGACTTTTCACTGGCAACCTGCACTTCCCAATGTTGCTCCTTTTGGTGGCTGGAGAAAAAAAAAGCCATCATTGCATTCAATGTAACATCATTTTCAGGAAAAACCTGGAAGTGACATCATGTCACTCTAGGGATTGACAAAAACTCTATGGTTTTACCACAGAGTTTCCAGAGATTCCTAGAGTGACATGGCATCACTTCCAGCTTCCCCTGGAAGTGATATCTGGTCATATGCAACTGTTCCCTCTATGTACATACCCCCCCATCTCCCACCAGGTGCCAGCTATCAGCTGGCAACCCTACCTCTGTAGTATATCATACAACTTCCTTCATGTCCTGACATCATTACATAATATTTTTCTTGACTCATATCCTTGGTTACCACTGGAGGGGCCTTGGTGGCCTCATTTTTGGGCAGAAAGCCAGGATACAAATTTTGTAAATACATAAAGTGCTCACGTGATGACATTATGACATGGAATAAATTGTGCTACTGATGTTGGAAATGGGCTCCTATTTTCAGCAGTTCTTCTTTTCATATAAAATACTGTTTTACCCTCAAGGAACAGCTCCTCAAGGCCTGCTTTGGTCAGCAGGAGTGCTTCTTCATCTCATCTGATTAGAAATAAAGTTCACAATTTTATACTTCAAGTTTCAAAATTTGAAATCGACTATATCAAAAACAAAAGGCATATACAGAGCCAGCAGGGAACCATGGTTAGAACACACAACCAAAGAGTTTCCGGTGCCTGCGAGACTGCGCAGACAGACCAAGAGAGCCTCCGCGTCTTTGCTCCAAAAAAACGCAAAATAAAAACTAATTGAGGACTATAAAGACTAAAACTACTCGCTGATAAGGATGGGGAGGCAAAGAGGAGGGAAAGGAGGGAAAGGAGCCAAGAAAAATAACGAGGAACAGCAGGGAACCATGGTTAGAACACACAACCAGGGAGATTTGCGTTCAACTCCCTGCTTAACCATGTTTACTGCCCTGGGCTCACTGGAGGAAGGGCAGGATAAAAACACAACAGACAGACATTGCCGGAATGCCATTCTCAAACATAAGAGATGATTAGATGAATAACATTCATGAGGAGGGAATTAAAATATACCCAAACACTCAACTCTGTGATGCCATCTTCTACCTCTTCCCAATTAATAGATCCTATTAAAACTTAGACTTCATTTTTCAATCCAAAATCTAATTAAGGAACTCATCATGAACATGCCTTTTTTTAAGTGGTTTTTTGTATTTTGTTTAAAAGCTGTTGATTTCATTAGTTTAGCTCCATGCCAGAACATATTGTACCATTCCTATTACAGACGGATGCTTTCATTTGGATGCAATTAAAGGCGAAACTAGAAAAGACACTGGGAGACCTATAAATGGTATGCCCAAGTAGTTTTTATGGGTAAGTAGCATCCATGGGGAGTGGGGATTCTGATTCAAATTAAAAATTCGTCATGTCGAGGGGAATGTTAAAACAAACCTCGATCATTTTCCCAGTCCCATACACCTCCTCTGAACTGATATTTGCCCATGCAGGGGCAACATACAGGTTACTGGATTGATTCCATTATGGTTACAGACACGTGATTTCAAAGTAACCTCATAGTGCTATGGGGTTCCACAGACCCATTTTATCTAATATGGAATTGCTGACAGAGGTTCTGGAGGTATTTGGAATGAGATGCTTCCTATATTTGGATGAAACCCATTTCTGTTTCTCCTTTTCATAAATCAGAAAATGTGATAGATGTGCTGAACAGAATGCCCAGAGTCAGTATTACGTAGGATGACAAATGTATTTAATAAATTACAACTCAGTCTAAACAGGATAGAAGGTTTGTCGGTGAGCAGTCATCCAGACCAGGGTGGTAGCTTATGGCCTTTCTGGACAGGGTTTCACGCCTCCTGAAGAACTAGGGTCAACACTTTGGGGAGTACATTTAAATCACAGAATCACTGGGTTGGAAGAGACCTCCAGGGTCATCTAGTCCAACCCCCTGCACAATGCAGGAAATTATCAAATACCTCCCCCTCCACACCCCCAGTGACCCTTGCTCCATGCCTAAAAATGACAAAAAACCTCCAGGATCCCTGGCCAAAATGGCCCAGAGGAAAATTGCTTCCGGACCCGAAAGTGGCAATCAGCATTTCCTTGGGCGTGTAAGAAAGGGCCACATGAACTAAGCACTGATGCAACCCTTCCTGCCCTCCCTCTCACAATCTGCCTAAGTTCACAGAATCAGCATTGCTGTCAGATGGCCATCTAGCCTCTGTTTGAAATCCTCCAAAGAAGGAAAGCCCACCGCCTCCCGAGGAAGCCAGTTCCTTGCCTTATCTTTGGATGATCTTGCCTTATCTTTGGATGCCTAATTAGTATGCCAGTTGCCTTTGAGCACCTTTCACAGGTCCAAAATGCTATGGAAAGATCACTGACGGGACCACACAGGGTTGCCAACCCGGCAGGAGCTTCACATCAAGACGGGGGCTCTTGCTGGTGATGTCACTTCTGGTGAGACTCAGAAGTAACATGAGTTTTGGGGGAGTGCTAGAGTGGTACCCAACATGATGATGCCACTTCCAGGTCACACTAGAAGTGACAATACAGTGCCAGTGCAACACCAGTCCCCCACCCATTTCTCCCAGCATTTCCCCGGCCACCCAACTGAACGGCAGTAGGCAAAGTCAGCAGAGGGTGGGAGATTTCCTGGCCCACTGGGAGACCTGCCCTCCCTAGGTCCATACCACAATGCTGCATGAGCTACAATGGCTTTCATTTAGTTTCTGGGCACAATTCAAAGTGCTGATTTGTGCCTACAATACAATCAGAGCTTGGGGTAACTGAAGGACTACTTATTCTCCTGCCAACCTGCCGGTTCACTAGGATCATCTGCCCTTTTCTGTGTCCCTCGTGAGGTGTGGGAGAATATAAGAACATAAGAAGAGCCAATCATCCATCTAGCCCAGCATCACATCTTAAACAGTGGCCAACCAGTTACTCTGGAGGGCCAACAAGACGGCATAGAGGCCAAGGCCATCCCCTGACATTGCCTCCTAGCACAGGTATTCATAGATTTTCTGCCTCTGAATGTGGAGGTTCTCTTTAGTCACCATGCCTAGTAGCCAGTAACAGTCCTATCCTCTATGATTCTGTCCAGTCCTCTTTCAAAGCTATCAATGCCTGTCACTATCACTACATCCGCTGGCAGTGAATTCAACATTTCAAGCGCCCATTGAGTAAAGAAGTACTTCCTTTCATCTGTTCTGAATCTATTGCCCATCAACTTCAGTGGATGCCCCAGGGCTCCAGTATTTAGAAAGAGGGAGAAGAAGTTTCCTCTGTCTACCCTCTCTGCCTCAGTTGAAGAATCCTAGTTTGGGAATTTTCCCTTTTTCTCTTGGTGAGAAATCTAGGTAGAATTCTCTTCCTAGGAAAACTATCCAGAGAAGGATACAGTGTCTGAACAAGCATATTATGTAAGCCTCTTGATAGAAATCCTACATGTTGGCTTTGGCACACAAGTAGTAGTTCCACAAATGAAAAAAGAGCATATACTGCCCCACATGACAAACATTGTAAGGTCCAATTGAGTTTTGCTCACTTTGGGATTTTCTAGAGACGAGCCTCACTCACTCTCCACTTGAAGTCACTTACCCAATCCTCTGAATCTTTTGGGATGCAGCTTGAAGAGGAAAGAACTTGTACTCACTTATGCACTATTGATCGATCCATCTATCTAATTTTCTGTTTTGCTTTCTGCTGTAACATATTTTCCCAAGTTCAGTCAGAGAACAAAGCATTACAGTATCCACTGGGACTTTCCAGTTCGATAATTCTTGACCACCAGCTGCCAGAGATTGGGTAGGATTGCCCGACAATCCGTTAGTGAGAACAGGAAAGGAGTGGAAGATAGAAACACCAGAAGCCAGTGAGAAAGTCAAGCCTAGGTACTCCTTGGATTCAGGATCCAGTTGCTCCTGGGGCTGCCACTTACTGATTGGAAGAGATCTCCTGCATAGAACTGAAGCAGATCTGCCCCCAAAGGACATCGTTTAAACATCTGTAAGTTAAAACTTCACCATTGCCTAACATTGATTTTAAAAAAACAGCTTGCCCTTTAAAAAGAATTACTTTTCAGGCAAGTCTAAGTCAGATTTCCCAGATAGCAAAGGCCCAGATAGTAATGGCGTTCCAGTGGCAGGCAGTGTTGGGGGGGGGGGAATGACAGTACTATTTTTCATTTGCATATGCATCACTCCTCCAAGAAGAAA